AGGAGCCTTCTATTAAATTTCCAAGCTTTCGCAAAAAACAAATAAAATTTTATTGCTATTTTTAGAAAAAAAACTAAAAAAAAATGGAAAATGAAAATGTCCCTAAACAGTTCAAAATAAATCAAAATATTTTGAAAATGTTATCGTGTATAGAAAATGCAAATATAAACAACCAGTGAAAATTCCATGTATATACGTTCATTTGTTTTAGAGTTCCACCAAAAACCAAAATCGATTTTTTCCGTAAATAATAAGTAGTAAAAATGTCCGTTTTTCCTTAAGTTTTATTTTGTTTTTCCCGGCGCTTGTGAAAACTACTGGGAAATTTACTATTGACCCCCCAAAGTACCAACTAGATTCACTTTCGTATCAGAAAAGCTACTGTTGAAGAAAATCCAAGCACTTTTACTGTCCCAAAACGTGATGACAGACACAAAAAAAAATTAAAAATTAAAAAAAAAATATAAAAATAAATAAAAATAAAAATAAAAAAAAAACACACATCATTGTAAAATCAATACATTCATCGTTTCACTCAGAATCTAAAATGTAATACAAGATTCTTCATAAGTTTTATTACATTTAGCAAAAAAAAATTTAAAAAAAAAAAATACCAAATTCCGTACGTTATCCACTTACCCATTTTTTTTATATAATATATTTAGGTTGCATTAAAAAGTTTTTAAATTAATTAATTAGTTAATGTCTTTTTATATGTTTGGTTATTTTAGAAAGATCTTATAACATTTGGGTTGTATTGCTCTAATTGGACAGGAATGGATGTTAAATTTAAAAAATTGATTTTGTTAACAATGAGAATGGCTAATGCCCACCAGAATAAATTACAATTTACAAGGACAAGAATTATTAACATGGAAATATTTTATCAAGTATGTTTCATATCATTACCTTCATAATTATAAAAATGTAATGATTATAATCAAAGGAATATATTTTGAGGTTTTAAGTTGGTAGTGGAAATATTGTTGTCCCTAATATTTTAAATTTACAATGTTAGGATTTCTGATATTTCAAAACATTAAGTTCCCTTATAGATTGATTAATTGAACAATTCTTGATTTTTTTTACTTTGGTCATAATATTATATAGTAAAAAGTAATACCTCTATAAGTAAAATAAAAATCAATTTTATTAACTTATTTCCAAAGATATTGTTAAATTAATATTTAATAAACAATTATGCGGTGAGGACATTCACTAAGAAGAAAAATAGTTAATATATTATGAAGTTAAATTACTGCATTATATCCGAGGCATCGAGTTCCACAATATATTAATGCATATATTGGTATCCCCATAACTATTTGTATAAACTTGGTCATCGAATATTATAGTTTTAAATTATTAATTATTATAATTAACATACGCAGCAACTGGCATATTTTATGTTTAGAAAAATCTATTTTAGTATTTACTTTCAGATATTTCTCGACTTAAGTGAGCGCCCTGTAAAATTATCTAAACTATGATTTTTAATGCCCATTTCTTGTTTTGATTTCGGAATAAGGGTCATTCTGAACTCTGAAGTAACCCGTGATTAGTCTATTTGTTGGACAGTTAAGTGTGACGTTCCGATCTCTTCAACCTCCTCGAATGATTCGTTCTGAGTTGTAACAGTGAGAACCATTGGCGTAGATAAAGTATTTCTTTTGATTAACAATCGGCCGATCATTAGTACAATATATTATATTGAATAAGATTAATTACCTATTTTAGTACACTTCCTTGAGGCAGTGGAATCCCTAGACCCTTTTTTAGGGGGGAGCGAACTCCATACATTAATACATTATATATATATATATACAAACACACCATAATTACTAGGTAGTTTACCTAGATTAACTCGGGGTGTGAGATGTTCAAAATGTCGGCTATTTTGTAAAAAAAAAGTATAATTAACAGTCACAGAATTAAAATATAAGTGCACATATTTAAACATTAGTAAATTAGGTAATAGACATTAAACTACAAAAAAAATAAATTATTCATTTAACACACAATACTCATTGTTTAGAAAAGTATTAATTTCATTTGGAATTTTCTTTTAGGAAATGAGTTCCGATATCTTTATAGATTTCTAGTATCATATCACTAAAAATTCCAAATTTGAACAATTTAACTTATTTTGCGAAAGAAAATTCCAAAAAAAGTTAGTAATATTCAAAATAATGAGTGTTGTGTGTTAAATTCATATTTTGTAGGTTATGATGAATATGTTTCTGTTATTTTAGTTCAATAAATCTAGTTATAAACCATGTGGGCATAATACATTATCCAATTATTTTACACAATAAGTAAAACTTTGGTATAATTCAATAAATAACACATTTGCAATATCACATGATTATACAGAGTACTTTATCTATATTTTCCTAGTGTGAAATAAAATATAAATTACATAATTTGAAAAAAAAAATGAAGGTCATAGATTGGATGACTGCCATGAGGATGGCGCTGCGGCTTGAGGTAACCCATTGATTTATCTTTTCCATCTACTTTTCTTGTTCCGAAGTGATACAAAGAATCGTCTGTTTCGTAGTATTAGCGCATTATAGATATAATAGTATAGTAGACCAACAATTTTTGTCAGCTTCGAATCTCCAGTCAGTTCATATTATATTTTCTTTATTAGCAGTCTGCCAGTCTATAATTGATTGTATCTTATGCAGAGCTGAGGTTGATAAAAGCCGCCCCTGTTATAACTATTTGCTCTTGTATACTTTATCTATTTCTTCAACAAAGTTTTTAACAGTGCACGATCATCAGTTCAATTATAAATCATTCCATAAGAAAAATTATTCTGAACGGAGAAGGTATTTCAGCCTATATGGCTAAGTATATTTTATTATTTATATAATATTATGTATTAGATTGCTGTTACAGTAATGTATTTTATTATTATTTGTTATACCTATTTCCGAAGGGAAAAACAGTAGTAACTCCTTAAAAATGGTAATATTGGTAAAACATAAACACGATACTTAGAAAAAGTTCCAAAAGTCAAAACAGCAATTAATGGATGTCTATTAATAATAATTATTATAAAAATAAAAAACATCACAAAATACTTTCCTAATAATTTGGATTTTTTTAGTTACATTTTTTGAGTTACATTTTTTGAGTTAGTAAAATAGAATTACATTATTATGTTTATAAGAGTTTTTTGTACACTATAAATAATAACAGAATATATTTGATGTAGATTTAATACAAATTATATTTTTTATTTTATTACAGACTATGCGTGTTTGTTACACAATTGTAAATGTGATGCTAAATTGTAAAAAAGAAAAATTGGTATAAAAATATTATTATAATATTCGGTCAATTATTGATCTTAGTTAATAACAACAATTGTTATTCATAATGTAAAAGCGTCATTTACAGCACATATTTATGTATTTTTTTTCTAACACGTTTATGAAGTTTTTCACCATTTAATAATAATATAAAAAAAAAAATGTATGTAGTCTTTTGGTCATGCTTTATGAAGTCTTATACAAATGTAGTAATGTTTATGTGAAATAAATTAAAATGATATAATTATTTAATTAAACAAAATGTTCTTATTGGCTACCTGCGACCTGTTGTCTAATGACAATTGGTTTTACATTGATGTGTTTCCCAGCGGAAAAAGTTCTGGAATCATCAACTCCGGGTTGGGCTTCTAAAATGGGTCTAAAATTGTACTTTGGAAGTTGATCAGGAAATAAAATATGAACATTAGTTGAAATTATTGAAAAAATTGTTTAATAACCCAGGTTAGGTTGGACCAAAAAGTTGGGCTGTCTCCGCTCAGGATCTTTTCTATCAAATACCTTTAAATATTTACCATTGAATTCAAATTTAATATATCCTTGACGGTGACCTACTCATTGACGGGGTACACTCGACACCTACCGTACGATATAATTTCTTGTTTTTTTATTTTTTATGAATCTTTTGTATTAATCATTGACATTTGAAATATTTCACCCCTACTTAAATTATAATTTTCTATACTCAATGAAACTTTCTTATATTCTAATTAAATTTAAATTATATCTATATATTAGGTATATGCATTTCAAATCTACATTTTTTTAGTGTTGAAAATTAATTTTCGAATTAAGTAATTTCTTAATTCAAAATATTTAAATTATACCAAACACATAATTTAATACCTATATTTTTTAACACGGTATCCAGTAGGGACTTAAAGACTTTCAAGATAACAGAATGAAATATAATCGTCGTTGCGCGAAGGGAGACGATGATTTTCGCGACCAGCTATTCAAGGTGAGTAAATGATAATACGTAGAAATTTGGACATCAGAATACGCTTCTTACGTTTCAGTGACCAGCCATAATATAGTCCCCCTACAGTTTTTTTCCCACTGATCGACCGTATCTCGTCAGGCACTGACCACGTTGTTTATACTATATTATAATCATACCGCAATCATTTAACATAATATTTTTATAATATGATTATTAATCGCAGTGATCACTAAACAAATATAATGTTATAGTTAAACACTTGTGTTTAACTCACTGCGTGCATATTATTATATTTTACCGATGGTGAAAATGTGAAGGATCATGACTAGATAGGCTGTAGATTACCCGCAGACTTCATTTTGTATGCACGCACTTGACTGCACACTCGCAGCGCGCCCCGCGGAGACTTCTCGTCGGTGGTCGTCGTCGTCATGATGGGTATGATGCACAATAATATTGGTAGGTATAATAATAACGTGTAACGCGTTGCACACGATTTCAACGTACTTTCGACATTTCGTTTCTCCGTGCAGCCTAGCAAACAGTACATTTCAACAGGCAGTGTCAACCGCGCGTAACTCGCCGCTGTACGCGTTAATGTAATATTGTTTGTAATTTTATTTTATTTTTTTTGAGCCCATCATATGAAGAAGTAGTACGCCGAGACCCATTATACTTGAACTACTAGGTAATAATAACATCACAATAAGTAAAACGCGATGGAACAGTGGAGAGGCAAGGTGGCGATAGTTACTGGCGCCAGTGCTGGAATCGGGGCAGCGATCGTAGTCAAGTTGGCGGAGAGCGGTGTGCACGTCGTGGCACTCGCCAGGAGAGAAAACTTACTCAAGGTAAACTATCGTTTATAGGTTTCAATTTTTATATTATATCAATGGTCTAATCCAATCGTCATGGATATAACTGGAATACGTGCTCCGGTGCTCGTGAGCCGATCCGATGGAAAACGATTAATTTCTGATTCGAGAAAAAAAATCATATTATTTTCTCCTTGTCTTGCACTCCCACCCCCTCTTTGGCTCTTTATACTTCTTATAATACAATAATGAATTTCCTATGTACATTTACCAGTGAAATGCAATGAAATAAAAATAATAACGATAAAATGAATTTGTTAGTAGGTAACATAAATATTATCTTATTATATAGTATAATATTAGTATTCGTATGATAAGCGATAGAAACTTGGTACGTTATCGAGAATTTCGTAAGTAAATATTGCATTAATAATGTTAATATTTGTAATTTATTTTACTATTAGTTTTACTAGCTTTATTAGTATTAGAACTTAGAAGATTGAATTAATTTTTGTCAAGTATATTGCATTTACCTTAATATTATATTTAATTATGACAGGACATAGATAATAGTAATAATATAACTAGGTATTATTATTATTAACTTCTCTGTCAATGTCGACTTACAGTAGAATGGTGTGAATAGGTTCGAATAGCTTAAAACTAATTAAAATGGTTTGAAAATGTCATTGTGTAGGTATGTAAAATATAATATATACCTACGTAAAACTTTCGAGTGTTATGAAATGCAATTCCATACTTCCTTGGTTTAATCTTATTTCATCCAAATTTGAGCTTAAATGTCTAAAAAAAAGTTGAACCTATATAGGTATCTTAAATCTTTAATATTTTTAAATAGCTATATAATAACTACTACCTATGAGAAGCCTTGTATTTAATGATCAAGGTTTTTGATCAAGTCAAAATTTTTTTATTAACATAAAAAATGTGTATACTTTATTACAGGCATCTAAAAGGTGGTATTTACTGTGAACATCGTGGTACTAATCTACTAAAAAGAATGATTTTTTCTTGCTTTAAAAACTGGGATTTTAAAGTTTGCTTCTTTAGGAACTATTGAAAAGATAATTAACCATCAATTAATTTATGTGTACAAAAGCTTATTGTTCAGCAACCGTCTAGAAATAAGCCAATGACTCTAAACCCCCCCTCTGTATACTCGTCTGTGTACCTGCTTACAGAGTTCTGTTAAATGTAATGTGCTTATATGCATATCGAGTATTGAATTTAATAGTTCAATTTTTTAGCTCAGAGAAATGTCAACTATAATGGCTAAACAAGTGCCACATTTATCTTTTCTTTTTTTTTTTTTTAGTTGCTATTGAATGGTGAATGGCATTGTATTAGGATAACAAATTCGATTCATCAAGCTGACTTGCACTATTTTGACGATACCAATTATATTAAATAGTGATATCACTGTTACCTAGCTGTTCGGTGAATTAAAATAAGATATTTTCTAACTGTACATTTATTTATTTTCATACAATAATTATTAGTATAGCATGAAAATGCAATAAAATATAAAGCTCATTGTTACGATAAAAATGCGTATGTATGGTTAAGTTAAGTGGACTGATGTGATAAAGTGACGATTATGGAATTCAAATGTTGTCGATGATTGCAGAGTGGAAAGAATAAGTGTTAGTTTCAAGTGGATAACTACAGAAAGGTATTTATCGTAGAAGATAATATAGGTAACACTTATAGGTGGTTAGAACAAAATAGTTGAATATTCGAACAAGGACTTGTTCAATCGATAATGGGATTTAAATTTTAAAGTAACGAAAACTTAAGTACCTAATCTAATGTTTTCCGATGAAGCAATATACTTATTATTGTTCTGAATTTTTAGGATTTTATGAATTTAATAAAAACCCAATTTCAGTCATAGGCTTTAATTGTTGATAAAAACCTTTTTAGTAACAGGTGGTCTTCAAAATACGACGTGCACCGCCTTATTATACGTGTCGCACTATAACCGTGTCTGTGTCTAATAATATTATAACGTACGTGTGTAAGTTATAGATAGATGTGTTAGATATTTGTTTTGAATATGATCAACGAACTAAATACTAGTTCGTAAGAGGACGCTACCAATACATTTGTTGTCTCCGTTTTAACACGCACGACAATTTAGTTCCTGTTTTAGTCAAAACCACGATTAAAGATGTACAGGTTGCACATCGACTACTGATAAGGTGAAATACGAAATGACTACCAATAATTAACCAGTGGCGCTCCAAGCGACAGTATTAAAATTAACCGATTATAGATATATGGGTGTAAAATTGGTTCTAAATTCGACACATATGGTTGAGTGTTGACATCAAGCGCCACTAGTTAATTATTAACAGCTGTTTTATATAGTCACTCTGTAAATCAATCTGAAAGCCGTTTATTATAGGGCGATGTGCTGCAACCTGTATATCTTTAATCGTGGTTACCACCACGGACTAAGATATAATGGACTGGCAACGACAGGGTCGGCGGCGATCGAGGGATGACCAAGAAAATATGTCACTTAGCTGATAAGAATACTGTTCTTGAAGTTTTCAGCGCTACCGGTGATTTTATTTGGCTACACAATTTGTATCTTAGTCCGTGTTAAATACAGAGGGACCCCCGCACTTTGCTTCTTGTACATACATTCGTGGTCGTGATAAGCTCCTCGTTTCCAGTCCATTATATCTTAGTCCGTGGTTAACACCAATCACCATATCTATTCTGTTGTATTATAGGTACCGCACTCTTTGTGCCGGCGTCATAAAAAAGTACAATGATCATGTCTAATACTCTTATAATCTATAGGGGTCTACAGTCTACATAAAACTTCATGGCGTTATATTATGTCATTGTGACACTCGAATTGCCTACCAAATTTAGGTAGGTGACCTTTTTTCACTCGAATTGCCTCTAATAGCATACCTAGATTATTAATTGATTTTTCGAAAGTTGTACTTACGTGTACTATCGATGTACTATCTGAGGGGGGCAATGGGGGCAACTTCATTTTTTTTGATCTCGATTAATTATGATTTAACTGGTGTTTAAACGATAATGTTATTTTAGATAAATGTTTACGTTATTGATATGTATGAATGTGTGCGGTATTGAACTGTTTGATTTGGAGAAAATATACTGTTAGTTATTTAGTGGGTGATTCTCATGAAAATGTTGATGTATCTAAATCAAAATTCTAATAAATATTTTCTGAGTTGTTAAAATGCTTATACTACCTATAAGGATAATAATCCTTAAATATGGTTTTAAATAAATATAAACTATTTATTTATTTATTTATTTATTAAGATGTAGTAGGTACCTATTCATTATACTAAAATCATTTTTACAAATTATATTTATATTGATAGATCAATAGTCATTACTCATTACTAACATTTTCAAATCATCTAAGCCCCCAAATCTACTTAACCTATTACCATATTAAAATACATTATATATGTATTATCATTCGATGAAATTTAGCAAAAAAAATAAAATATCGAGCTTTCTCAATCGTGTTACCAAAAATAACGTTCTCAATCGTATTTCACCGATTTTAACAGCATACCTATAATAGGTACCTGAATTATTTTAAATTTGTATTGAATTTATAGTACAATTACAATATATTTAAACATATTTCAATATTTGATTTGTCCTTAAGGAATTAGCGGAATCTTTAACTGATAAAGACTACGGGACTATTTATGCAAAGGTATGCGATGTCACTAACGAACAAGCTGTAAAAGATGTTTTTTCGTGGGTAGATTCAACACTAGGAGGTCCTAGTATTTTAGTTAACAATGCCGGAATTGCGAAATTATCAAGTCTTTTAAGTGAGTACACCTAAATATGGAATAAAACTAGGAATTCTAGATATGATTTAAATATTGTTTTTGTGATAAAGACGGAAAACTGGAGGATTGGCAAGAAACATTGAATCTCAATGTTCTGGCATTGAGCGTGTGTTCGAGAGAAGCTTACAAATCGATGACGAAAAATAAGATCAACGGTCACATCGTTCAAATAAATAGGTAATTTATTATTATGGTTTAAAAAGTGTTTTACTTTGATTAAGTTAAATATTAAGAGCTACTCGTTGATAATATAGGTAGAAATGTGAGGTGGCGGAAAATTGTTTAGTCTTATTTAGATATTTTTTAACCATGTTTATATTCGACAAACATCTTTATGAACAACATGTTTACTGTCGTTTATTTATTAAAATAATTAATAAAGAATAAAAGAGCTTATTATTATATAAACTTACCAAAAACCTACGTATTTATTTGATCTTAGTGTCGCTGGTCATGGTTTAACTTCGTATTTTGGTATCAAAATGTATAATGCTTCAAAGAATGCAGTCAGGATACTGTGCGATGGACTTCGACACGAACTACAATTAGTGGGATCCAAAATCAAAGTTTCGGTAGAGTAAAATTTAACATTTATTTATATATATATAATTTTGTTTTTTAGTTGAGCATGCAACTATTGACTGTGGTTGGTAGGGACGGTAAGGTTGTTATGGTTGTTAACGCGATAGGTAAGTAACACGTGTATGTGTTTCAAGGTTTTTGTTACTACGAACCTGGGTGGTCACCCATCCGGGAACTAGTAGCAGCGGACGTTAGCGTGACTGTTAGCAGTCAATGAGCGGCGCCAAGCCACTCAATATTTATTATATTTTACAATTGATTGCATTATAAAATGTATTACAAGATAGGTAATCGTATTTTATATTCTGAGTGTAGCGAGAAAGCTATTGTTAAGTTGTTACTTTTATATAAGTATATAACTACATAGTTAGTTATATTGTGTATTATAATTTATTTATTTATAAAAATTAACGATTTAAATTTATATTTAAAACAAAATTGTAATTATATATTTAATCCAATTACTGTAATATACTGATATACAGACATGCAATGGTGTTTTTAATACTCTTCAAAGTAGAATTATATTATATTTTAAAAATCAACATTTATAGGTACAGCAATAATAATAATACGGAAATGGCCGTCGTGGTTATAATATTATAAGTTATAACATAAAGATTTAATTTATATACTATGAACATTTTACCGAACATTTTTTTCAGATAAATTAGAGGTGGGTTACATTTTAATATTTTATGACTTGTAAATACTTTGTCATATATTTTAGATTCTGAGCAGAGCGATGAATGTATTGATTTTATAATAATGTGTGTTTTTTTTTGTGTGTGTCTGTCATCACCGTTTAGGGCAGTAAAAAATTTTCTTCAACAGTAGATCTATTGTTCGATAGGAAAGTGAATCTAGTTAGTGAATTCGGGAGCTCAAAATCACGGTCACCATTTCATTTTTTTTTAAACAAGTTGTAATATTTATATTTTCATCCAGTTGAATACATAAATAATAATACAAATGGTTTTATTATTTCATTAGGTACTCGAAAAAAATATAAAAATAATAGATGCATAATAATAATTTAAGGGACAATAAAAACCAACGACAATTTGTTCGAATTTGATCTCTATTTAGATATATTTTATTTTATATATTATGTTTCTCTAGTAATAATAATAACTTCAAGAGGTTTTCTTAGAAACTGTTTGTCTACACAGATATATAATATATTTTAATCAATAGCCAAAAAAATACTATATATATAACCTCTATGCACAGAATAATCAGTAATAGGGATATAATTACTTTTTTCCTTCACTCTCAAACAGTCCAAAGTATAAATATGTATAATTAGATCACAACAGTTGATTAGAACTTTATAACCGAAAATCATAATAAGTGGAAGGTTTATCTTTTATTTTTAGAAATAAAATGTTGTTATTTTCCTAACTGTAACTTTTCGTTCTATTCCATTTACAGTAATATCGGGAATAGATCGTTATTTAACGTTTGTCTTGTAAGTTAGGTTTTATATGTTTTGTATTTTGGTCATCGATATCTAAATGAAAAACTCACAATATTAGTTAGATTTTGATAATTTTCTTATTTATTTATAAGATTAACACTTTTTATATACAGGTGGCATATTGGGTTCTTAACTTCTTTATGAAACTCATATTGAGTTTCAAGAACTCTACTTTCATAAGTTGTAATAAGTATCTAAATATTCACAAACTTTTGGGTAAGTATTTTGAAATATATTCTTAGGAATTTCTAATGTGAAACTCATTGTCTTTTTCTCACCACCTCATTTTATATTCTTTCATTCACATTTACTTATTGTACCACTTGTTGTATAGATTGTACATTTTCACAAAATAAACGACATTAAAAAAAAAAATAAATATATATTATATATATTGAGGCTACTTAAAGTTATTCAAAAACACAGATCCTCCTTTGCTGTCGGTTCAAACGGAAAAAAAAAAAAAAAAAGTAAATATACAGGGTGTCCCGTGAGGATTTACTCATTGCGATATCTCCTGAAATAATGGAGATATCGTAATTATGTTTTTTTATTAAGACTCGCAGAGGTAAGCACTACAAATATTTTATTTTTAATTAAATTAAATTTTTTAGTAAAAAAGTTAAAAAAATTATTTTTTTATTTTTTTATTTTTGAAAAAATTGAAGATAGCTATTCTATAGAGTATATTTTTGTGAACATTTTGAGCTTTTAACATTTTATTTTCATTAATCTCATGATTTTTAATAATTTTTTTAGTTTATTAGTAAAACGTCAATAAACTGGTTTTTGTCCGGGCGGCGAGTCCCCCTCTACGGTTAATGAGTAAATCCTCACGGGACATCCTGTATAGGTCGTAGGAAGTGTGTTGTATCTTTATACTTATCGGTTTCCTTAGTTTTTTTTTTATTACAGTCTCAAGGATCCTTACGAGCTTCCTATAATTGTATAAACTTTGTTGTTGTATTCATTTTTTGTAGAGCAAACGCTAGTTTAACAAGTGCTAATTCAAATATTGTAAATTAATTTTCCAACCCGACTCTCGAGATTGATTATGCACTGCGATGAAACGCCTATAGGCTTACGGAGTTATACTATAGCTATTATTACAATTGATTATATTATATTAGACATACAATTTTTTGCATAGCTCCTGTTTCTTGACGTTTCAGGTTAACGACAGATTTAGATTGGGTTGTCAATACGTTTATAAAATTAAAATTCATAATATTTAGGTATCAAGACAACTACTACGCTGTATTGGGTTAAATAAAATACATTATTAAAATACAAATTATTTTTAATATATTATTTATATGTTGTATTTTCATAAGTTAGAAACATTTAAAATGTTCATAACATTTATAATTATTGACCAGTCCAACTTGCTACCTGTATCAAGTTTATTGATTTACTTTAATTACATAGGTTTATTACTTATTAGTACGATTTGATGATGTAGTTACATGTTATAGGACACTATGAGACAATATGATACATAGTACAAACTATATAGTATACAATATGGTTTGGTTTATAAAAACTTTTATGAATCCTCACCATATAAATTATTTTTTATTTTTGAAAAAGTCCTGGTCTATTATTCTATTGATTCTTCAATGCAAGTCGCTTCATGTTTTTGCGTATTAGAACAGTGCTTGCTTAATAATAATTTGTTCTTAATATCTCAGGACATTTATTTTGGAATAGCGATAACGATTTGGATACATCGTATCTATTGGTATTATATTATTTATACTGTTGTCTGTCCTGGCAGGCTGATGAAATACGAATACCACTCCATATCGATCGGCATTTGGCAATCACTTATAGACAGTCGATATACAAACATATAATAATAATATTTATTTAATTTAATATTTAGAGTGTTAGTCCGGGACCAGTAGCTACAGACATGTTAGAAGATGTCCACAAAATCATCACAGACCGACCTATGGTGGATTATCAATATCTCTATGTGGAAGATGTTGCGAATGCCGTAATCACATCTTTGGCAACGCCACCAAATGTTCTTGTAAGTTAAAATTTAAATAGATGTAACTTTAGAAATAAATTATATTGGAAAACGTTTTAAAAAAAACCCGATACATAAAAGAACCCCATACAATGTAAAAAAATTAATAATACGCACAAAAAAAATATATGATTAAAAATTCTAACCATATACATAATATATATAGATATTTATTCACTCTATCACGATAAACGCATGTTGACTAGCCCAAGCCGTTTACGTCTTATGAACGCATATAATTTTGGTGTATGTAAATAATCCAGATATTCCATCAAATATTACATAGTATGTGGAACACTGTAGGCCTGCAAATAAACGTATTTTACAACATCTATTGAAAAAGTTCTATTATACCTACTAAAGAGTAAAGGCAATGTACAATTCACAATTATAATAGGTAGTGGTTTATGTTATCAAAAGTTTACCAATTTTGACTAACATTTAAGAGCTCGAAAAAATGGAATAAATGAATGTCAGCAAAAATCCAGTTTTCGTCTGGTTAGCGTATCCACTATATAGATACTATCTCTATGCTCGTAGTTCTCCACGTTGTCCACCATTGTCGTTATATGGAAGCGAAGAAGTATGTGATAGAAGAGGCAGGGGGTGGTAAGCGTATCAAAAATTTTCTTACATACCTATATATTTAGACATTTAGTAATGGTTAAGATATTGTTCTTAGAGATATAAGGAAGGTTTGAAACATGTCTAAGATAGGTGCCATTACTGTTTGTTTAGTATTGATGTTTCTAGAAATGAGTCTTATCAATAACTAGCCTTATCACACAATTACAATAATACAAATATAGTAACAATAGTGCTGTATTTTAAAATGGTTTTCGGGGGTGTATAGGTTAGGCCACCTAAAATAATAATATTAGCTCATGAATTTATTAAGTATTCTTATACTGAAATATATCAAGCTTATTGTATCCAATTCACCTCGTTCTGTCAACTTGGCCGTTTGAGCTCAAAGCGGGGTACATAATACACATTATCACCAAAATGTGATATGAGGTAAACTAAACCCAAAATACAGTATTACAGTTATTTATGATTGTTCATTTTTTCCGGGGTGAAGTCTACTATATACAGCAAGTAATTATAAAACATGACATTTTATATTAAAAATTATTGATATTGATTACATAAAATAAAAATGTTCATTAATAATATTTATGGAATAAATGTTAACAGTTAAATTTACTCCATGAATTTATAACTAAAATATGTCCTCAATTTTCTAAAAAAAATATTTATCCACATGAATGACAATATTATTATAAAGATAAAATATTTTATCTATATAAATAATTTCTCAAATGTTTATTTTCAGATAGCTGAAATGACTATCATACCAACTGGATCATTAATACATACTCATTTACAACCGAGTGCTCAAGTCGTCAAAAATTCAATGAACTTATAATACATTTGTTATGCTAATATTTATTTTATTTGATTCATGTTAATACTTGATACTAAGAATAAGACTAGAGGTTGTATATTCTTTAAATTATTCTGAGTTGACAACCATATTTGATCAAATGGCTATTTGAAAATATACTAAATACTAATATATTTTATTAATTATTATTTTATCGGGAGAAAGATATTTCTATTTTGATACTTTGTTTTGACATATTTATGCAACAATACTAATTTTAATGAAAACGCTTGAAAACCGGAAAAAATATTTTTGATAATTATTTTAGGTATTCAAAATGATTATAATAACAAAACATTTATCAGTAATTTCCTCACAACAGGAGCATTGACAATTTTTTAAATTTTTTTTTTCATAACCTTTTTATAGGTAGATGCATAGTTTGAATATTGTTTGGTGTATATTATATATATTTTCATTAAAGAAAAAAATGGGACAGAAAGTTATGGCTCTATTGTACAGTACGTACGTGTCATTGATACGAAAAACAATCCTGAGTGAAAACTTTCTGTCGACTGTCATATATTATTATATTAATAATACACGAGCTGTATTGTGAGAAAACAATATAAAATTTGATTTCAATGATATAAAATCACTGTATACAAAAAACGATTCTGAGCGAAGACAAAGTTATTATTTTTTATTACCATAAAGTTTTCCTGACAATCATCTAACATATTAATTTCAGTATTTTTTTAGCAAGTTAACAATTGATAATATATACAATTATTTATAAATATTTACCTAGAATAGGATATAATATAAATAAAAATATAGGTACCTAAAATAACATTTTTAATTTATGTTCTCAAGTGAGACGGGTACGTTCCACTCTTGAGCCTACAGAGAATAGGCTTGTCACTTGGTTTAAACGGTTAGACAAATTACGCTTTTTTTAAGAAATTTAAAATATTACCAAGTGTATTTTAGGATGTTATTGTGATTAAAGTAATTCATTTTACTATTAGGCAGTACAGTACTACAGTGGGTTAAATTCATTTTTGCCGAAAAAAGTGCATTTGAAAAATGTGTGTATACAACAATAAAATATAATAATATGTTTTAAAAGTTTCAAGTACCCACGAATAATATTTTAAAACTACAACACAAAACTAAAATCGTTATTTTTTGTTTCAATATCTATAATTTTGTTAAAAAATATAATTCAAAAATTATGTCTTTACTGTGTTTCTATATTTAGATTTTTTGGTTATAGTATGAAATACTTACCTGGAATCATGTTTAAATATTTTCAATAATTGAATATTTTATACATTTTTAACTACAAAATAATTTGCAAATTTTAAATTTCACAATATTTGTCAAAAATTAATTTTTAAATGTTTATAAAAAAAAATAGGTCCACGCATTTTTATTATTTTGAAACTACTATCTTAACAATGTGTGCGAGGTATTAAATTACATTATCCAGCTTTTTACCTCGACGAAAAAAATTGTATTCACATTTATAGAAAAAAATTGAAAAATTGATGTCTGTAAATAACTCAAAACTTTTCTAAATATTTTGAAAAAATTAATATGTACTTATGAAAAATTATAAAATTATAATTTGTTGTAAATTACAATTATCTACTGCTATTCATTTTTTATTTACAACAAACTAAGAAAATCGTTCCATGAGAAATCAGATGAAGCCTACTTGGTAAAAATTTGAATTTCAAATGCTCATAAAAATTTAATTTGCTTTTCCGGTTAACCTTTTTGTTTTGTTTAATCCAGAAAACCTTCTGAAGAAACTATTATATTATACATTTTCAAAATATCTTAGATATAAAAATAAAAAAGCTGCTCTGCTGTATTGTAGGGGACAAGTGGGTCACTGTATAAAGGAAGGTATTAAATTTGAATTCAATGGTATAATATCACTGTATAAGAAAAATTATTCTGAGCGGAGACGGTATGTCAGTGTAGGTATAAGACATATTATACACTTATCTATGATATTAAAAAAAATTGACTTATAATAGGTACCTATAATAAATTCTAAATTAATCATATCATAATATCCATTAAGTACTTATAACGCGTTACATATCAACAACAAACCCTGATACTATCAAAGATATATAATAGTGTACTTTAGAAGTTTCAAGTACATAACTTAAAATACTATAAAAATAAACTGTGCTATTGAATTTTTAGATTTTTTATTGATAAAACTAACTACTTACTCGGAATTTTGTTTTAAATTTTCAATCCTTAAATATAAAAGTTGAACATTTTATAAATTTTGAACTACAAAATAATTATTCAATTTTAAATTTGATAAATTTTGTCAAAATTCAATCTTTAAATACTTATAAAAAAAATTATGTCTATGTATTTTTAATATTTTTCAACTGATATTGTAACAATATATCAGGAGCCTTGTAATAAGAGAATTGACTCGTACATAACTCTTTATAGCAACGGAATCTATTTAACAGTATCGGTGCAGGTAAACAGGTGCCTGCAGGGAAGCAACTCATACGCTGCTATATTATTCATCTTTATTAAAGATTCTTATCGTACGGTTAGGTATTAAGGAATTTACACGTATTTATTATATTTGCAAACGATAGCAACTCAACAAGTAAGACGTGTGGGTTTCTTATAATAATATGTTGCCAGAGAAAAGGGATGATCGAAAAAGTAGTAAGGGAAGTTCTTGGAAGGGCAACATCTTCGATCATGTCGCCTATCACAGTCTGATCGGCATAGTCTTTTTGTCAGTGCATGCGCACCAACCACCAAAAACCAACAACAACCTGTTTCCATCAGTGGCGTACATACGGGGGGGGGTTTCGGGTTCAAACCCCCCCAGGACCAAAAAAAAATAAAAAAATAATGTGATATTATTGATGAATTTCTTATTAATCAACCGTGTATACACAAATATACGTCATAATAATATGACTATTGAGTAAACAGTAAACACTATACTTAACCAACAACGAAAAAAGATTTCATAACGAAATTATGGGTGCCGTATAATATGGTATATCAATCAAAATAGACATTATTTTGATCGTACACAGTCAGTTAGTTGCGTGCGGATATAAATACATATTAATATTGTCTTTATCTCGACCGACTCATTATAAACACACAAGACTGGGTGAGTTAAGTTTTTTTTTTTTTAACTCAGTTAAGTTAATATGCATACACATAAAGATATAGTATATATTGTATTTTTAAGTACAGAAGTTACCTATCACATAAGTAATAAGTAATAAATAATAATAAATAAGTATTATATATTTTAGTTGTCTTTCAAACAGATATTATTTGTGTACTTACATCATAATACGATGAGTAGGTATTTTTAATTTTAATGTTTTAACTATCAACGTGAATACTGTTAATAATAATTAATAATCTCACAAAACCGTAAAATCATAAAATCAATAGGTAATTGATTTATTTTTTTTTGTTTATTTTTAGATTTTAGTGTCGGCAAACTATATCATAATATTATGTCTATAATCTATATTATTGAAATTTTGACATGGCAACAAAATAGACTCAAATAATGAAATGTAAAAAAATGAAAAACAAAATAAACTAACTTACAAATAAAAAAATTAATTCGTTAATTTAACGTTGATTAAAAAATAAATTTAGTAAATTAGTAGTTAAGTTAAAAATTATTATTATCACATCATAATCATTATCATTCGATTTCGATATATTTTAGGATTTGAAGGTAAAATAAATAGTAATCATGGCTGAAAAAAAACAATCGAAACTGCAATCTTTTTTTTCGAAACCGCCCTCAATAATGAATTCATTGTCAAATTCATTGAATGCAACTCAAACAGTTATAAGTTCCTCTAGTTCCTCATTACCATCAACTGCATCTGCATCTGATACACCTATCACTCAGTTTACACATTCGACTACAGATATTAATCGTACATTTTCTAGTTATAATATTTTTGACATTGCACATTACACAAATAAATTGTTAACGCAAAGTGAAATAGAAAACATTTTGAGCTAAATTTGGGTCCCTGATATTAATTACAATTTTCCTATCAAAATATCAGTAGTCGGTAAACAACAAAAAGTTTTGAGGTTGAAATTTCAATATAAATGGCTAATTAACTTTCCCTGGTTGGCCTATTCAGAAGTAAACAATGGTGCGTATTGTAAATAAAATGTCCCAAAAAATTGGGAGCATTTGTATTAAAAAAATATGATGATTGGAAACATGCATTGGAAGACTTTAAAAATCATTCGAATTTAGAATATCACAATCAATAGAATTTTTATTATAAATAATTAATAATATAATATTTATAATATTCTGTACTTACTATGTGCATATTCTGCCATGAGTTACGTAAACCTTATTGTATTTGTTTTGCTATTTTGCCTATTAATATTTATACGTGTAATGTGTTTGATTGTTAGGAAACTTAGTTGCAAAGAGAAGGTTTTAGTGCTGGTTATTTTTTTTAAACCTCCCCCAGAGCAAATTTGAATGTACGCCACTGGTTTCCATAATACCGAATCCTAAGAGCGACAGCTGGATTTCTTTAAGAGCAGTAATCAGTGCGTTTTGTTATTTCGATTCACATATTTTGAGTACATGCTTCTTGTTACTTAATCCCACTACAGTGCATACTGTATACCCTATACATGTAGACTACTGAGAGTCAGGTAAGACATACACATATTATTATTATTATATATTATATCTTACATATTATTACCTATTGTAAGGTGAATTTGATAAAATTCTCGAATACCTCCGATCTCAAGAGCCCCTTCGAACATGTGGAGGAATGTGTGATAGCGTTATTTTAATATTTTATCTGATATAAAGATAAACGTTATTAGCCTTTTATTTTTATTGTCTCCGATAACAATATTCCGTGTCATTTATCAACAAAAAAATGTCTGCTTATTATTCACTATAGTAAAATTATAAAAAAATTTATTGCTGTATTATAGAATATAATACAATCATTCAA